TCCTCTGACATTCTTCTTTACAAATCCTCGTTTTGTACTTCTAATTAGTGACCGTTGTTTTGTTTTGATCTCTCGGCTGCGCTTCTGCGTGCGTCACTTCTGAGCGGCGCATGTGCAAAGCCCACCTCCATACGTCATCTGCCCGGAGCTGCTTCTGTTTACAACAGTGAGTGCAAGCTACATTAAAGTCATTATTACGTTTTGAACATGGATATTTTTCTTACAAAAACGCAACAATTCGCTACAGGAGGCCTTTATTCACCCCCCGGAGCCGTGTGAGACACTTTTTTTTATGGATGGGCGATTTTTATTTAACTTCTTTTGGACTGATACATGCAACAGCCGCTGAGTGCAACGATAGAGCTTGAAAGATCAAAGACAATTTTTTATATAACTCCGACTGGATTCGGCTGAAAGAAGAAAGTCATATACACCTAGGATGACTTGAGGGTGAGTAAAACGCAGTCTAATTTTCATTTTTGGGTGAACTAACCCTTTAACAACAGTTCAATCCATTGAACACACTGTACTTCTTTCCCTCACATCCTCGTTTTTCACTTCTGTCAAAAAGTAAATATGGTGCTTCCCTGATTAAGGTCTATGCTATAATGTCTTATATAGTAATTTTAGACAGTGTTTTGAATGTGCCTCTGAAGACTGAGTAAACTGATTTGCGTAATTACACAGAAGCATTGTCTTGGTGACAAGCCACTCAAATCATTGTGAATGGGCTTTTATTACAATTGTTCTTTATTACATATCAGTATAATGATATAGCTTTTATGTGTGACACATCAAGTCAGATCTCTCTGAGTGGGTTAATTTAGCTTTCATACTGATTGAAGGTTAAGAAACTTAGCTGGCTGTTATTGTATGCACAATAACAAAATCATAAAGAAACTGACATTTTTAGATAATATACAATCGTTATTGCACATTAACTCAGTTATTGCACTATAATTTGAATAGCTTGAGGTAAATTTTAAATGCCAGTTTACCTGACAACTTTGTTTTCATTCTGCAAAACCTGCACAGTCACGTTATATGATCCATTAGCATGAGCCACGACACTGATGTCACTAAACTCAGCCTGAAAAACACAATCAATCAATCAGTAACTGAATAAATAAGAATATTTTGATTGATTTGATATGTCTTGTAACTTTCATAAACTCACCTGTTCAACTTTAATATCATAATCTCCATTCAGTTTTTTCCCTCTAAAGAGTTTGGTCCTGTAGAAAAGGGGGGGGTGTTAAAAAGAGATTTAAATAGGACTAAAATATACTTTTTTTCTGTTCATAATAATCAAAATAAATTGGATCATACAGAAATGCATTCATAAGTGGAATTAACTTGACTTAATATTACATAGTAATGTGCTTTATCATTTGAGAGTTCATTAATAATCCCTTAAAGGACATATTTGTACCTAAAAGGTGCATATTAGTACCTTAATAGTAGCAATGTGGTACTATTACACTTAAGGTACTACTGCGAACCTTTTAGCAGTGAAAGGGGACAAGGATGTCCTTTATAGTGTACTGCTCCAGTGACAAGCTCCTGTACAATTGTTATACATTTTTTTTGTGGGAACGTATATGAAGGTGGTATTTGTGCCTTGCATGTTGGCATGAGGATGATGGCATATTGTGCAGTGGGCTAGTTACCATGGTGATCAACATTTTTGCTAATTTTTTCACCTGAAGCAGTTCATGTGACATTCCAAGAATTCCTCGATTAAATTGCCTAGCTACAACGTGAATCAATATGTTCACTTCAACCTGAGGTTAGACACACACACAGACACCAACTAAATGATTATATAAAATAATTTAAAAAATATATATAATAATAATAAGTTTATATAAAAAATGGATGACTAGTAATTTCATCACATATTAATTTTCATAATATTTCGTTAATATTCAAATCCGTTAAAGGATTTTTAGGCTGCATTAAATAGGACAACTGGATCATCGTACTACATCGTTAGAAGAATGGCATCTACGCTAATATTAGTCTCTTTCATTCTAATTCTGAGGTCACTGTAGCCATATGGATCCAGTCCAGATGGTGGATCAGCACCTAGAGACGACCTCTACAGCCCTGAATGTCAGCGGAGATCATGTCAACTAGATGCACAGACAGATAGACATGCATAGATAGATAGATCCCCAGTGAAGACCTCGTCCCCTCGTCGACCAGCGGCACAAGACCACGGGAACCAGACGAGTCCTCTGCACAATCTGACCTGTGCTGCAACCTATTAAAGCACACCATGCTGGTTTGGTCTGTCCAGAGGAGAACTGGCCCCTCGACTGAGCCTGGTTTCTCCCAAGGTTTTTTCTCCATTTCTGTCACTGATGGAGTTTTGGTTGCTTTGACTTGCTTAGTTGGGGAAGCTTGACTGATTGCACAGACACTATTGAAGAGAGCTGAACTGATGATGACTGAATCATCAATGAACTGACTTTAGCTGAAAAATGACTCTTTGATATTGTCTTCTTGCATTATTGACAAACTATTTTCCTGTTTAACACTGTAAAGCTGCTTTGACACAATCAGTATTGTATAAAGCGCTATACAAATAAAGGTGACTATTAGAGCTACAGTGATAAAATAGCAGCCAAACTGGCTGTTGGTTGCTGAGCTACTGCCATCTCAGTAACATGAAGAGCTATAATTCAGACCAGTGAGTATAATTAAACTTCTTATTAGTAATTACACATTTCACCAACAGTGTCATTCAGTGCAGTGCACTAATTTCAGGGACTGCTCCTTTGCTGTCGGATACTATGTTGGCAGAACTGGACTAAAATCACAGCTGATCATTTCTCTGTCACCCCTGCTTTGCAACAGATGTGCACTGCTGATCCACCTTTAAACAACAAGAAACATGTACATAACACACACATAACACAACAGACCTCCTTCCTGACCCTTCACATAAACACACAAACTAATGGTCACGTTGGATATTAGTGACCCATTTAATCCCAAATTATTCTCATCTAAACATGTATATTACACACATTACTCAACAATTACTCTAATAAAATAATTAACACTTCTCTAAAGGTATGAATGTCCCGTGAGCAAGATTTAATGGAATAAGATCCATATTATTAATATTAACAACAGACCCTTTAAACATAAAATGTATTTAATATAGTACCTGTTGTACCTGTATCCGCATTATAGGTTATTACATGTTTTTTGGAGCTTTGATACAGACAGGATTATTTACACCAAACATAAAAATATGATATGATATGATATGTGACATCTCAAAGCAGCTAGAAAGCAATCAGTTTAGCCAGTTTGTCTGTCTCTGAACTCATTCTCTAAATCTTTTATACTGTATCACAAAAATCTACAGCCTACCACACAAATTAACAGCGTACCCTCTGCAAGACTAAACAATATATGACCATTTCTTCTGTATGCTAATGCAAATACAGGTTTAAAGGATATCATGCATTTACTATAATTCCCACTAATCTTTTGAGGAAATGATTGTTGTCATCAATTTGCAGAGTCCACTTGATTTATCTAAACTCAGGAAATGCCTCAGATATTCCTGCTCCTTAGATTCACCCATTCTTTCACATTGATATTAATAATTCACTATTATTTTCTAAATAACCACATTGTTATGTGTTAAGTTGTCACCTTGTGTTAATACCACGCTCACACTATAGACAGTGAGTGTAATATCATTACTAATCAAACACACTTTAGGCATGTAGATCAGTGAGACTTAAGATTTATTCAGTGATGGCGTTGCCTTTTCCCAGTCAATAACAACATGAAGCTTGTGAATGAAAGATGTTAATTATGAAAGTGTGCCTTTACTATATCTTCTTGTTTTTCTCCACCAAACAAAATTAAATGATTAAACTTTGCACTAAATAAATAACTCAACAGATAAGGATTTAAAAAATGAGGAGAAGCCAAATACAGCCTGATTAGAAAAAATCAGCCTTAACAGGGAGCTCAAGTGAAAATCGTTGCTCTCACCAGTCCTGTTGTGGTTCATCGATGACCAGCAGGAGCTTGTGTCTCTTGGATGATGCAGGCACAGGCATTTGCTCCACCAGCCCTGCTGAGGCGGCTGTCTGCTTCACCACACTGGTGATGGAGCTGAAGAATCCCGTGCCCAGAGGCTGGGGTTGGATGGGGTTTCTCTCCTGGCCCGGGGACTCTGGAGCTGGTCCTGAGGCTGGTCCGGGAGGGGGAGGCTGAGGAGGATCAGGTTTTTGCAGGTCTGACATGTAGCCATTAGGCAGGTTGGAGATAAAGGTGCTGTCCGACAGACGCCGGCGCAGGTAGTTCATGGCTAAAGAGACTAGAGGAGGAGCGCTGCTTTGGAAATAGATGTGGAGATGTCAAGCGCCTACATTCAGGGGATTTATCCCAGCAGGAGAAGCTCAGAAGTGAGAAGTGAGATGCTGGGGTCCCTCCTTGCGTCGCAGTGTTTCCTCTCCTCTCTGCTTTCTCCAGCTCTGATGTCGTGTATATATGCAGCCAATCAGACGCTTGCTGCATCCCTGCATGAGATGCTTGCTCTCTCTACCCTCCCCCATGCTAGACTGCCTGATCGCATCCTTCATGACAAGACAGTATACTAAATAAAAAGGTTTCCCGTAGCGCATGCATGGGAAAATAGAATGCAAATGAGCTTAGAATTACTATTTTGTTTTTCTCGCAGATACAGCTAGAGATATTGCTTGAACTACATGAGCTCTCACACCACATTCTACTGCATTCTTTACCACAGCTCACCCCTGATCCTTGCAGGCAAGAGATTTGTGTTGCAGTACCTTTAAGCTATTTATTAATCTCTCTTATTTATATATAGTGCAACCTTAATTTATTATTAACCCATATGCAATCTTGACAGCCTGAGGGATGATGAACCTAGATTTCTCTTGAGATTCCTACTGACAATACATGTTTTTGGCACATTTTCCCACAATTTGTCCCATAATACTTACATGTTGAGTGAGTAGGTGTTCCTCTGCAGCTGTTCAAACACATTTGACCACATGAGCCAATGCAATGTCAGTGTGGCCTCAAATGTTGAGCACCTCCAGTGGTTGGTCAATCGAAACTGAATTGCATTAACACATGTATTTAGCGAGGTTCTTGAGATTGGATCGACCAAAACAGA